AAATAAATAAATAATTAAATAAATAAATAAATAAATAAATAAATAAATAAATAAATAAATAAATAAATAAATAATAAATAAATAAATAAATAACTAAATAAATAATATATATATATATATATATATATATATATATATATATATATATCGACATGTTAGGGGAGCCAAGAAATGTGACGGTCCCGCCGGCTGGTTCTTGAGACACGCACTCTATGCTGGAGACGGAGGACTATAAATACCGTTAGCTGCCCTGTCATGTTTGCTTCCTGCCTAAGCCGCCACGTACAACACAGACACTGAACTTATGCTACCAACATTTAATATATACAGAAGTTCCATCCAGATAGTATAATCTATGTATATCAATAGTCGGATAATCGCTTTCTACCTTATATGTATTTTGACAGCACTAACCCTACTCTCTGCATGGTGTACTGTGTGCTTGATAAGAGATTTGCTGACTGGTGATAAATTGTGATATCTTTTTGGTCCCGCTCCTATAAATAGTATCTAGGGTAAATACAAAAAATGCGGGCATTTGTTTGCTGTATGTTTTAAAAAGTAGGATATGTGTTCGTATAGTTAACACGTTGTGCACTCCTACGTGCCATCTATACTGTTCTGCGTTTGCGTACATAGTATTTTGTTCACCGTGTTAATTGGTTCAATTTTGTGCACACTGTGTATTAACACTATTCACACTTGGCATATTGTACTCGTGATTAGCTAGTATGATGAACTAAGATTTCACTCTAATACATGCCTTTAATCTGTCTTGACATACTTCACAGGTAGCCGTGTGCGTATTAGGTTTACACAGGACATTATAAGATTGAAATCTTGGCGACTTCAATCGGATGCGAGGCAAAAAAAATCTGTAAATTAGCGAGTAGTTATTTGTAGATATACCATAATATTATGTTCTTCACAAAAATAGACCGACAATCACGCGTCTCCTACTTATGAAAAGATTTTAAGTATATATAGCAAGCTATCAACCCAGTGGGATTTGTATACGATCTTCGTACCAACGCTATGTTTGAATTCTGGTTCTTGCATTTCTTGATCCTGACATATATTAAGCTAGAAATTTTAAGTGCAATCAGTAACATTAAGTTATATTAGACGCAAGAACGACACCCATGGTAGCGTGCGTGTACTACCGTGCGTATATAAGGTCACGTTTGCGTCAGAGCGAAAAGGTTAGGCGTCATTAATAGCGTGAAATGAATGTATACTACTAGTACACTGAGCCCTCACATAGCCGCTCACCTATCCTTGAGCTTATCAGCTACGATGCTCCCGTCGAATATTGGCTGCATATATAATTTATTACCACCTATGTGTAAACATCAATGCTTGATATCTGTAACATACTTATAGCAGCAGATAAATTTCGACAGGTATATCAATAAATAATAATGCAACGAAACAACTTGTCATCAGTCGTCTTGCGATCGCCTGAAAGATAGAGAGAGAACTCAAAGAAAGAGGGTAAGCAAAACAAGTGAGAGAACAGAGAGCACACTATTAGTGCTACAGACGGATTAAATACTTCGTTCGTTATGTTCGTCACGCGAACCGTAGCTGTGGTTGTAGTCGCCGTGGTGTCCGTTGCGATCGTGGTGACGGGATTGATCGTAGGGCTAACGACACGCAGTTGTGAGGAGCTACAGGAGACGACGACACTTGTGCCGTCAACGCAGCCGCCGACCGCGACGGCTTCGAAACCGTCATCGAGTGCGACGATCGTAACGACGATGGATAAAACAACCCCGGAGCCAACGACACCGGTACCGACCGCGCGACCAGAGCTTCTACTACCCGGCAATATTGTGCCAACCTACTACTCATTGTATTTATGGCCGGATTTAACTGATTTCAAAACTAGTGGCTGGGTTGATATAACCGTCACGTGTACAAACCCGACATCTAGTTTCATTGTGCATTCTACGCGCAGTAAATGCGAGGTCATTCAGTCGAAGACGTCGATTCGGAGCGTCGGGAGCGAAAACGCATTGAAGATTACCGCGCAGAAATATATCGAAGAGAAAGAGTTCTTCGAAATCACGTTAGACAAGGCTCTGAACAAAGATGGGGAATATGTTGTGCATCTCGAGTTCGAAGGCAACGTTGAGGAAGATCTAGCCGGCCTCTACCTCAGTTCATACACTGATGCAGATCAGACCGTAAAGTAAGCCAGCTCTACTTTTGTAACCCCTTCTTTCGCCTCATGATTGTGACAAGGCGCAAAGCTATAGACGGGGTAGAACTCAAATTAATGTTAGCCAAGTTATAGATGGCCGCGGACGCCATACGTAAATGAGCGGGAAGAATGCAACGAATGTTCTCTTATGGTGTTTTAGACCGGCCCTTTTTTCGGCTACGGCCATTTCTACGCGAATAAATCAAATCGAATATATTTTGCGACATCGGCATAGTTATCAACATATAGGCAAATGGGCTCAGTTATAATCGCACATAGTAGTTTCCACATACGCCACTATATGGATACAGCATATGTCTAACAGTTGCTCGGTTAAAGTATTTCTTTCTCATATCTGTGACGCTCCCCGTATCATTTAGACTTATCACCGTGTCTCCCCTCTCTCACCGTACACTTGTACATAAACACGCAGGTACTTGGTGACAACGCAAATGCAACCTACAAATGCTCGTCGAGCATTTCCCTGTTTCGACGAACCGAAGTACAAGGCTGTCTTTAACGTAACGCTGGTACGAGCTCAGCACATGCTGTCCCTCAGCAACATGGATATCGTTTCGGAGTCGGAGCCGTAAGAATTATTTATCCTTAATACATCTTGATGGGCTTTTCATAGCAGCGAGCACAAATACAGAGCTTATTTCTAACGATATCTTTCACGCAGTGTTTATTGCAGACAAAAATGTAATTACTGTTTTAGATTTATGGAACAATCTGACAAGAGCTTTACACGTGTTGTGTATAGCTGCTTACACTTGACATTGTGTTGATTGTTTTGACAATTGACAGTGTGTCAATACTCTTTACACAATGATAACACAGAGTAAAATTTTGAGGTAAAAAATTTTGGATTAATAACAAACCTACACGAAACTGGATGATATTTCGAGTGATGAAGTTTATTATAGTTTAATAAGATATAATCTCTGTGAAATAAAATGGCACATTGAAATAATTGAAAGCCCTACACATGTACAACATTACATAAATAATAAATTAATTTCGCAGATGTACTCTTAGTTATTAATTAAAGTGAATAGTCATATGATTTAAAAAAAAATACAGTGAGTTTGTAATACCACGTGTAGCTAGTTGCTCGCGAAACATTTGATTAATTAACTACTTGTATAATAAGTGAGAGAGAGAGAGAGAGAAAGAAAGAGAGAGAGAGAAAGAGAGAGAGAGACAGAGAGAGAGAGAGAGAGAGAGAGAGAGAGAGAGAGAGAGAGAGAGAGAGAGAGAGAGAGAGAGAGAGAGAGAGAGAGAGAGAGAGAGAGAGTTTAGAACGGGTGTATCGATTAATATTGTTATTTTATAAGACAACTTATTTAAAAAATAAAATACTGTATTTCGTACATAAATATTTTAAAAACTACAGCAGATTAAAAATATAGGTTTCTATAGGTTATATATTATATATATATTTATATATAATATGATATATATATATATATATATATATATACAGGTTACTACAGGATTCTAGAGTTTGTATAGGGTTTATAGGTCTCACTGGGAGGCGCATGGTCTTAATGGGTTGACGTTCTTAATTGTCGCGAAGTCCCATCAAATATGAGTATAATACATAATCACAGCAAAGAGGAAACTTATCACGTAGTGCCCTCAATGCGTTGATTTACGATATCAATACTAAACATCGCTAAGCTTATCCGCTAGTTAATTAAAAACAGTTATTTATAAGACGAAATTAAAAGCAAAAAGTGGAAAAAGGTGATGTCAATTGGGAATTCATATTAGGTGCGTTCACACTGGCGGGAATTAGTGGGATCAAATCTCGGGTTTTTGCATCCCGCTCGAAATACCGAGATTTTTACGATAGTGTGAACGCAAATATCCCAATAAATGCGCTCCAAATAGCTGTGCGTCCAAATCGCACTTCCAACTGCGGCTATTGGAAATAGCGCGATTATTTGGCACCGCGCGTGTTATCCCGCTCGGCGATTAGCGAGATATTTCCGCACTGTGAACAACGACACACATTATCCCAATTACTCCGCTATCTCACGGATTGAGCATCGGCGGTATTTTCTTAGTGTGTGAACGACGCCTTAGTTACGATGTATCAAACGAAAGCTCGTCAGGCGACAGCATGTTGGGGCGTGTATTTTGGCAGGTTGGAGGCGGGTTTTTTAACAGAGAGCAATTTCTAAGACGAAGGGTTTTTGGTTTTCCAGAGGCTTATTGGAAAAGGTGGCGAAAGAGAAAAAGATTTTTTCAAAGCGCAAAACGGTTTTTTTTAAAGTGGGAGAGTTCCCGTCAAAACGGCGGAATTTTGTCGAAGAGCTGTGGTTAACAAACACGTAAACAAGTTGACGGCGCGCGGACCCCCGTCTAAATTGGCGTGACAGGAGAAGAGAAGGCGAGAAGAGGAGAGACGAGGGAGAGAGAGACACACACACACACACACACACACGCGCGCATATAATATATATATAATATATTATATATATATATATATATATACTATTCGTTACATACAAGCGACGCTGTTATCCTAAAAACATGGTGATTCGTGACAGCTAAGTAAGTAAGACTGTGTAAGCTATATTGGAAAATCATCTGACCATGCAGTAACATTTCCGTGTGCTCAGGTTTACACAGGTGGACGCGTTATCAACCGCATGTAAATACGGACATGTGGACTGCGTCAAAATAGCCACCGATAAGTATAGACAGTGGATGACTTCCTTGATAAATGAGTAAGCTAACAACAAACTTAAAATAAAAAGTTTCAGTTGTAGATATGACTTGGAAATATGATGTACCGTGCTACAGATGATCTCTGTCAGATACAGGGACAGCAGGCTGGTGCATTCAATACTTAAAATAGATGAATAAAATACGTTATCGTGAAATGATCAAAGAATCATTCGTAATTAATTCATGTAAGCAAGCATACAAAGCTAAATCCATGTTGGCTAGATACTTACGACTGGTTTTATGCATTTCAGCATTGCTCCAGACGTGCAGGAACTAGTGTATTGCACGGCCATAGCCAATGGCAATGAGGAGGAATGGAACTTCGCATGGGAGCAATTTAACAGCTCCAATGTCGCATCTGAAGAAACCAAGCTGCTGCGCTCAATGGCATGCACGAACGAAATGTGGATCTTGGAAATGTACGTAACTAGCGAAAAGTAGCGGTTTTTGTAATACCACTTAAATTACGATCCACTAAAGGCGTTGCATGGAATGGCGTGCTTGCAGCATAGTGATGTTTTCTTGATGTTTATGACGATAGCGATATATATAGTGATAGTGAGTTTGCAGTATAGTGATAAATGTGCTGTGCAGCATCGTTTTATTAACGACCAATTAAGTATCATCCCGAATTTGTAACATTTTTTGTCATTTTACACTTTTATTTATATTTATATGAACAATATAAATTAAATTACAAATTAACAATAGACGAAGATGGCGCGGGAAAAGAACAACGGGCCATGCCGATTTGCTTTGCGAATCCAATACACCATCCTTTATAGTAAAGAAGTAGGATAATCGAGCCGATGGGTCTAATTACTAAGAGAAGATACAAAGCCGGGCGCAACAGCCGATGTAATGCCGCCATATTTCATCGCTGTTACACAGGTTTCTTAAACGAACGCTACTTATGGATGGTATCAAAAGGACACAAGGCGATAGCGTCATAAGCTACGTGGCTAATAACGTCGTAGGCAACGTGTTAGCGTGGAACTTCCTTCGTGAGAACTGGTCAACGCTTTACGGACGCTACAAGCACAGTTTCTCTGCCATGGACCGCATGGTTAAGAGCTGTACTGACCGTTTTAACACGCAGTGGGAGCAGGATCAGGTAATCCAAAGTTAGAACGGAGTGCGATTACCCGTACGGGTTCCCCTAGTAGTATATATTAGTATTACAGTCTCAGGCCTTACAATAACCTCTTCCTACAGATAGTTTCATAGGTTTTGAAAAAGACGTTATATGGGTTTAACGGGTATTTTCTAAAGTGGCAAATAGAGTATTGTTAAATAATATAGTACATTTTTACTATTAAAGTGTTTTGTTATGAAAATACACTTTCAACATTACAACCAGAAAGGCATTTAACTTGTAGTCAGTGTATGGTGCAGTAACATTCATCTAGTGAACACAATGGTATATACACATATAATCAGAGACCTAATTAACTGATATTCATTAGAAAATGTAGAATAGAAACCATACAGCTTCATAAACCATCACCATATGAAAAGTTATGTCATGCATGAATTCTTCATAAGTTACATTATATATGCTGCATCTCCAACGGGTAACTCAGACGCGCTAGACGTCATGCAAATTGCTAAAAACACTTGTAAACAACCTTATATCATGATCATGATTATGATTATGATTATGATTATGATTTTGATTGTGATTGTGATTATACAATAATGATTATGATTATAATTATTACCATCTTAGCTGTGCCAACGTTATCATGACAGGTGCGAGCATGGGCACGACCTGAGCTAATTCACCAAGCAGAGTATGCTCTCAATACGACAGCTGCCATTATGGAAGCGTTCGAAGACTACTTCAATCTCTCATACCCTTTAAAGAAAACAGGTAAACGATTTTCTAGTATAAATGAGTGAATGAATGAATGAATGAGTGAATGAATGAATGAATGAATGAATGAATGAATGAATAACTAACTAACTAACTATATATAACTAACTAACTAACTAACTAACTAACTAACTAACTAACTAACTAACTAACTAACTAACTAACTAACTAACTAAATAACTAACTAAATAATTAGGGTAGGAGATGTAGGTAACTAGGTTTCCTAAGATACTCAACCATTATTTCCCGGATACCATCAGCCTCTTCCATAATCGACACTATTCGCATATATAACCAGAGCACTTGGAGAGCGCAGACCTCCGCCAATGCAGCTCAATTCTGCCACTGTAAAAAATTTTATTAATTAATTAATTAATTAATTGGATCCGGATCACCACCAAAATCTAATCAATTCTAAGTTAGCCCATTTCTGACCTATCCTGAACATTTTATGACAATCCGTCCATAACTTTTTTAGTTAGGCTGTACACAAACAAACAAACGCACAAACCAACAAACACACGCCGGTGAAACATAACCTCCAGCCAACCCCTTGGCGGAGGTAATAACAATTCGCAGAGACTAAAGTATCTAACAATTATGGCTGCGCCACAACAAAATATGTAGTGGTATTTGATGTAACATAATTATTATGACAACTATTATTACGAGGTTCGGAGGGAAGCTTGAAAATTCGGCAGTTTGAGTTTTCTGTGTTTGAAGTACGTATCTCTCCATTTTACCAGATCTAATATAGTGTTCTCGCATAGTTCAATCATATTCCGTACTTCGTAACTTACTATACTTATATAATTACTTCCGTACTTACTATCATAATTATACCCGTTTTTCTTACTTTGTATATATAGGCTATTCGTGGCGAGACATAGTGTTTGTGTGTGGTGACAGCAGGCTCAGCGGGAGACATATATTTCCACAGGAACGTGGCAGGCATGCCCTGCAAAAATTATAATGCGATATTTATCGCAAAGATATAACACACACACACACACACACACACACACACACACACACACACACACACACACACACACACACACGGACTAACAAACAAATTAACGTTCACGGTAACGGTAAACACTCCGTGATTACATGGATTCGCGGAAAGACTAATAACCGCGTTGATGGAAGCAGGAAGGTGAATTAAACGCGTCGGTGCATGGGATGCGCTCGGCTCTCTAATACCAATAATAGCACCGATTCACATCGCGGGCTCTCGTGGGCTCTCGCGTGCGCACACACCAGGGGGCGAGTTACACGACGAGGTCGCTAATTAAACCTAACTAAAAGTGCCGACACTGAGTCGGCTGGTGTCGGATGCGATCTACGGGCTAGCGAGCGCTGCAGACGATCGCTAAGCTTACGGCACAACATCATACAACCCCCCCCCCCGACCGAAGGCCGTGTACATTGTGTCATGCTCCGCTCATGTGACCTGTTATAACTCACTTCCGTCGTGAAAATTAAAAAAAAAAACACTCACTGTAAATTCATACCGGTGAACTGTGGAACCCCTTCCCCTCCCCTCCTGCATGAGTTACGCATTGG